AGTGGTGTAGGCACGGTACTGGGTCAACAAAGCGATTAAGGACACCCGATGGAGCTACATTCTAGTAGTCAGGATGAGATACGTAGGAGGTTGAACACCACAAACCTTCAAAATGTTCCCAAACAGACATGCCGAGAACAATGAAAATCATCTCTGTGGAATCCAGGTATTTAGTCAGTGTACAGGGGAGCGGATAGTACTTGACCTCGTGCAAGGAAAACCTTTTCTATAGTTGATATTGACAGTTAAAAAATGTCGATCCACTTCTCACTCCTCTCCTGCCGCTCGAAGGATGTCAGGGCCGTTCGAAGGATGCTAGGAAGAGGAGGGTGGAGGAGCACTGGAGAAGGGTATTTGGGAAGGAGGGGGGGGGGGAGATTAAGAGAAGTCTCCCCGTAATCCCATGATGTATCCTGTGCACGTAGCAACATGAAACCTCTACACTATCTACAGCTTTGTTCGCGGCGGATGAAAGCGCGTGTCAGGAGGGTTGGGTCTGGTGTGACACCGTTTTCCTCCAGTTATTGAAACAAAAAAGCCACCAGACTGCACCATATCATTCGTATTAGACGTTTTCCGCCAACTGTCGTCCGCTTCGACAACTGGTAAGGAACGGTTTGGCACCGCGTCGAGCTCACCCCGGCAGCACTCCGCCCCTTCAGCCACAGCAAGCCAGATTATACTGCAGTTGGAAACATAAAAAGAGTAAAACTGGTACTGTAAATGAATCAACATGCACAGAAAGAGACGACTTCATCTCATTACTTTTTATTACAAATCATTAATAATATCAATATCAGTATCATATCAGTGATATGTTAAATATTACGATGATATATTGATTGTCTGGACTGTATAGAAACAACAACACACGGCTAAATGTATACATTAGCAACCTCTGCATACCTTATGGTATGATGTAAACGAAGTGAAAAATATGCGCTGATTATATTCAAACGGAATCCGTGAAGGGAGAAAAACGATAAGGCACTAGTAGGATCAAAAACCATAGTGGTTATTGATCGAACACAGATTAATCACTGATTAGCAATGATAAAGAAGGCAACATGAAACCAATGAGGAAATAATCACATGGTAAAACATATAGCCGTGTTTCTTTTGGCGAAGAAAGGGCAACAATAGAGTACTTACCAGTCTCTGATAAAGTACCCCCAACAATATCAACATTTCCATTACATCTATTAGCTATAGAACTCTTCTCGAGCCCCTCTTTCTTCACCCCGTATTATAAAAATATTAAAACAAAAAGTAAGAGGTAATATATAAGGACAGGGAATACTGATAGGAAAGTGAAAATGAAATCATACTGATTCAGTTATGAAATCACAGATAATACTGGTCGATCAATATTATTAGTGAAAAGAGATGTATCAAACAAAGCAAAGGCAAAGCGAATGGAATGCAGCTACGCTTTCGATGCAGGGTCTAAAAAATATTGAGCTTTTCAACCTAGGGTACACAAATCGTTTACAAGAATATCTAACTTCACGTCCTAAATGGAAAAAATTATACAAAAATTGGAGACGCATGGTCATCAAACTATTCCCCTGTGCGGGGCTGAGAGCACTTCAAATTTCTGGATGTTTTGCTTCATACAACTCGTCATCTTCATCAGAATCTGAGCCGAAAATGTGAACTTCTCCAGTCTGGCTGTTATAATGAGGCAATGGAGTGTAGCTGTAAATAAAGTTTTGAACTAAATATCCTATGAATATCGATGAAATTGTGGAAAGCTCTACGTGAAAGTGTGTTGCTACATTTTCCAGGGTTCGAATCAAATCTATGGAAGGTAATGCCTGCAACTGCATACTGCGGATAGCGGCGTCCAGTTATGAACTTGCATCGCATCTCAGAGAAAAAAAAGCAAAAAAAAAATCGTGAAAAACACTCCCCTGACAACCTCACTGTACGATTCCCCGGATCTGCATGTTCAGTAGCCGCAACCAGCAGCCTCTGCCTACCTGATCGGTTCTTCGCGTGGTGCAGTGCTTATCCCATCTAACAGCGTAAGAAAAGTGAAAAACGCGGTGTAAAAAACGAACTCGTGACAGAAAAGAGGTCTAGGTTTCGGTATGCGGGACAACTCGGGGCAGCGCCTTCGTTACTTCCTGCACAGCAGAGAAATGGGATAGTCTTGGAAACTGAGGATCAGACTACTTGTAGAAGGAAGGACGCCTACGAATTGGTTGAGTGCGATGAGTGTCTTTAAC